CATGACATTCAATGTAAGCCTGAGTTCTTCCATATCTTTTGCTAAACTGAGAGCCATTTTCTTCCTAGAGCAGACCGAGTTGGATCAGAACCAGATCTTTGGGTTCTAGTGACTCCCCTCCATCTTCTGCCCCTGCAGCACGCCGTCAACTACAGGAAGGTGGCCTTCATGCCCCCAGTGGAGGACATCGGCCCTGACCCGCTCTTTGTGCAGTTTGTGTTTTCCGTCAGTGACCCGCACGGCGGTACCGTCTCTGGCCTAGTCTTCAATATCACCGTGACCCCTGTGGACAACCTTCCACCTGAGGTCAGAGGTCGCCTGGCTGCTCTGAGTGGATGGAGGTCTAGTTTCTGCTTCACCCTGTTGTCTCTCAGGCCTTCACCAACCTGCTGCGAGTGGAGGAGGGCGGCGCAGCCTTTGTCACGGAGGAGCACCTCCTGGTCCAGGACCGGGACAGTCCTGAGGAGGAGTTGAGGGTGGAGGTGCAGAAGACGGCACGGCACGGCCGGTTGGAGCTGCAGGGCGGGGTTCTGCTGCAGGGAGGCTCGTTCAGACTCCCTGACCTGAGAGGACTGCAGCTCAGGTGAGATCTGCCTTCATGCAGGCCTCCAGCTCAGCAGAGCTTTGACTCAAGTTCATTTATCAATGCTTGAAAATGTTAGTTTGGTTCTGACCCAATGCGGTGGGAAGTCAGGCAGCAGAACCTCCAGGATTTTGTGAGCTCAGATGGTTTTTCCATAGATAAAATCTTGAGGAAGATGAGGATGTTGTCTTCTCATCGTCTTTGTGTTCTGCTGGCTCTCCTCCAGCCACGAAAACAGTTCCCTCCCAACGCTTCTCTCCTGAAGGTGAGGATGACGGCGGCAGTGGTTATTTACTGATACAAAACCCACTCCACCGACCTCTGTCGTGTCCTTGGGAAAACTCTTCACCCAGCATGCTTGGTGGTGCAGAGCAGAGGGCCCGGTGCCGTGGGCCCGGTGCCGTGGGCCCGGTGCCGTGGGCCCGTACGTTCAGCCCAGCAGGGCGTCTCCTCAAAGTTTCCTCCTGTCACATTAGCACTAGGCCTGTCACAATAACAAAGTTAGCTGAGCTATTATCTGTCTAAAAAATTATTGCGATAAACGATAATATTGTTTCAAGACTTTTTGACACTGATTTAATGGAAATTACTAATAATGTCTCTGATTTCCTGCCATAGATGCACTTTATTTTGAAAAGAACACATAACACTGGAACTGATTAACTAAACAACCAAAAACAAAAATAAAATGGATTCTCAGTCTCCATTAACAAGAAACGTACTTGAATAAAACCTAAACAACATGAAGCCAAAGTGGGAATAAATACTGCATTCAACCAAAAGAGAGCAGATTATGAAGTCTGTATTGCCCTTCAGTAATCGGTAGATTTAAATAGAGAAGATGGGCACATCCTACTACCTGATGCAGTAGCTCATACTTTACGATGTTCTGCCCCCATTTTCCCCTTATAACAATCTTAGATCGTTGGCCGATCTAAGATTGTCGCTGGTGATTTCGTAACCGATCATCCTGCAGTGTGATGTATATCGTCGTGGCTCCGATGTAAATCAGGGGTTTTCCCCGAGTTTAACGCTGAATGTGACAGGTAGCCAATCAGAAAGCCGGATTAACGGAGAGGAATCCGGTGCAACAGGAAGTCCAGCATCGGAGATGATATGTGGAAACAACATTAATGTTTATTCAACATTTTGTGCAAAGAATATAGAAATGACAAGAGGAGGAGTTGGAGCCAAATTGTTACCGCAGCTGATAAACCCGGCAAGTTCTCAGCTGTTCTTCGTTAACGTGACATAAATAGGTTACAATGATTTTCATTCAGTCAGGACTTTACGCTGATTCTAGCCACATGCATCACAGGTAGATTCTAGTAAAGCATTGATTAATGCCTGGTTATAAAATTAGGTAACTGGACTTGCAGCCATTATTTTGTGCCCATGTGACTGAAAACCACACGGCACGACGAACCCGATCGAACCGTTATACCGAGGATTTCTGTCGGCCAATGTGTCTCTCAGGTTTAGAAAACGGGCCGCTGGACATTACACTAAGGAAATGAGGAAGGGAGGGTCAGTGGAGAGACCGGAGCTGAGCCTGTTTTCATTCAGTGTCATCAACAGAAAGGAAAAAAGGCAGGAAGAGACGATAAAGCCGATAATTAAAATTAAGTCAATAGGTTTAATTTATCGTGCGATTAATTGATTTATCGTTTATCGCGACAGGCGTAATTAGCACCAAACGTTTCTGTCCAGAAAGTCCTAGAGGAGATGTTTCCCTCTGACTCCTGCAGCTGTGGCTCCTGCTCTGGGTTTTCTAGAACAGGAGCCAGGGTTGGAGTCAGCAGCTCTCTGCCTACATCCCAGGTACATCCATGACGACTCAGAGACCAGACAAGACGAGGTGGGTCTGAAGGTGACGGACGGTCAGAACTCCATGGACGTTGTGCTGCAAGTTCAGGTGAGTCTGTAAGTAGCGACATGATCCAGTAGCACCAATAGACAGGTCAGGCTGGAAGAGTTCTGGAAGGTGAGTCCGTGCTGCGTTCAGGGCCTGCAGGTCTTTAGACCGGGCTGAGTTTCATAAAGCTAAACCTGGGTTCTACCGGGTTACAGAGCGAATCCAGGGTTCTACTGGGTCATCCAAGTGTCTGCCTGCTTTTTCTTTAGGTGCGACCGATGAACGACGAGCCCCCCCAGCTGGGTGGGGGCCTGCAGACATCCCTGAGCTGCGAGGAGGGGGGGCGGGTCCAGATGACGGTGGACTTCCTGTCGGCCACGGACCGGGACAGCGACGACTCCAGGCTGGCCTACATGCTGGCCCGGAGTCCTGGGCGTGGGGAGCTGCAGAGAGCCGGCGTAAAGACGGACAAGTTCTCCCAGCAGGACCTGCTGCAGGGACGCGTCTACTACGTCCACTCAGGTGGGTCCGCGCTGCGTTCAGGGCCCGCAGGTCTTTACACCGGGCTGAGAACACCTTTCTGTGTTCAGGTGCAGAGATCGGACCCGGGCCGGTGTTCGACACAGTCACCCTCATCATCTCTGACGGAGAGGCCGGAGTGATGGATGACTGTTGCCATGGAGACGCTCCACCCCCACCTGTCCCTCTGCACGGCACGCTTCCTGTTTTTGACCTGAACATCACGGTTCTTCCTGTGAACAACAAGGTTCCTGAAGTCACTCTGGGTAAGACCACTAGGAAGGGTGGGTCCGGTTCTGGTGAGCCAGAGAACTCGGACCGACTTGGATCAGCCCAGAGTGTTCTGATAAACACCCGAGTCCAGATTCCCTGAGAAAGGTTCTGGAGAGTTCTGAGCAGCTCCATGATGGATTTGTGCCTCTGCATCGTAACTGTAGTTCTGCTTTCCAAGGTCGTTGCGGAGACGTTTGGCAGTTTGAGTTTGTTGGAAACAGTCAGCAGAATCACATGAGCAGCTTGGTGGACATGGTCACATTCCTGCCTTTTCATTCCCAACGCTGTCAGCATGGATGCGGCCTCATTGGACCAGGGGAGCGAAGGGGGCGGGGCTAATGATCAATCGGGACACGCTTTGCACTCGGTCCATGTATTTTCAGGCAGTTCGTTTTTTCATTTGAAATGAAAAATGAAAACAAAAATCAGAAACAAGGAGCCGAGCCGTTATCCGATTTTGGTTTAATAAACGAATAACGAAAAAACGAGTCTATTTTAGTGTTTTCATTTTTCATTTCAAACAAAAAAACACACTGCCTGAAAATACAAGGGCTGCACTGGACCTGGTCTCTGAGGGACTGACCAATCAGAGCCCAGATCAGTGACCACCTGGCTGTCCTACAGCATCCTGTCTCTGTGTCTCCAGGTAAGTCCTTGCTGCTGGTGGATGAAGGCTCCAGGGCCTGTCTGTGTGGGGGGGTTCTTGGGGCCTCAGACCCAGACAGCCCCCCCCAGGAGCTGACCTTTCACCTGGAGGCTCCGCCCCTTCACGGCTTCCTGGAGAACGTGCTGCCGATGCCGGGCTCAGAGAAGAGCGGCGCAGGAATACCCATTGGTCCGTATGTCTGGTTCTGGTTCATGACCCAACCCAGACTCTCAAGTTCTGGATCCTGACCCAACTGTCTTCTCCCAGAATCCTTCAGCCTGACCCACCTGACTTTGGGCTTCATCAGGTACGTCCAATCAGAGCACAGAGGGGTGGAGCCAACGGCGGACCAGATGTCCATCAGAGTGAGTGACGGCACATTTAGCTCCGCCCCCGTCCCTTTCCACATCATCATCCACCCGACCAATGACGAGCCGCCTTCCCTGCTGCTCACCAACTTTACCGTGCGTCTGATCAAAGCTGTAACTATGGTAACATGAAACAGGCGAGTGACTCCTGCGGTTCCTCCCACAGGTGAAGGAGGGTGGGGTTAAGGAGCTGACTCCGCCCACTCTGGACGCCTGCGACCTGGACGTTCCAGCCGACCTCCTCACCTTCCAGGTGGAGCGCCCCCCGAGTCACGGCCGGCTGCTCCGCACTACGCAGGGTGGGGCGGGCGCCCAGGTCACGACCTTCACCCTTCAGGAGCTGCATCAAGGTGAGGGGGCCGATGGGCCGGGTTCTGGGGTCCGGCCCGGTTCTACAGACAGAACCGCTGTTTTGGGTCTGTATCCTCCCTGCAGGCATGACGGTGCTGTACGTTCACGACGACTCGGACACCCTGGAGGACGGCGTCCTGCTGCAGCTGAGCGACGGCGTCCACTCGGTGGGGGGGGGCGCCCGGGTCACGGTGCTGCCGGTCAACGACAACACACCACACCTGGTCAGGTACGCACAGGGGTCTTCCCAAACCTTCCTGGGGTCAAAGTTCACCTATTCGCCATGAAACACGAGACTGTTATAACTCTTAAACAAAAACTCACAGAGGCACCAAACTTTCAGTGATTGATCATCATCGGGTCAACAATAAATACCCAATGGTCAAAT